TTAGTCTTAGGATTAGCACTTCTCCTGTGTCTTGAGGAGCTTAGCAGTCCGTTTGTCTCCATCTCAGACTGGGTGTACTCCGAACGTTTCTTTGAAATTTCATTCAGCTTTTTCTCAACTTCCTTAAGTCGTCTTTCCGTAGAGGCCAAAGTAATGAATTGAAATATTACACACGCAATCAGGCCCGCTATCACCACAACGAGCAAAGGGCTAGCTAGTTTTGCCAACGGATAACGTTGGTCAGGTTTTCGTTCCTTATCTGGGATTTTCTCCATCACGGTAAACGAGCGAGCGACAAAAACACGGCAGTGTACCAAAGTTCTGATAAAATGAATTCTTACTCCACTTGTTTGACTTAAAGTCGGCTCGAGTGAATGATTAGTGTACGTGATGACGAACCTAATTCTTTAAAAATGCTTCAGTACTTGGGGAAGTAGGTTTCGTTTACATCGATCATTTGATCATTTCAAAGTACAGCGAGTCTTAAATTTTCACACGTGGGATATCTGTGATAAGCTGGTGCGTACTTTGAACTAAAATATCGAGTCCCTCAACGAAGCCATTAGTTTTTTTAAAATATGTTGCTTGTCATTCACTGTTCCTAAAATATCTCGATTTAAAGACAGTTCACCTGTCTTTTGTGACTGTTTTCATCTTTCTCTACATTTAATTGCAGTTGTATGTGTAGTATGACTTGTCATCATCTTTCTTTCTCTTTTTTCCTTTTTGTGTTGGTTTAGCTTATTAGTGAATATATAATAATGCACCCGTTTTCAAAAATGTTGCAATTTAAAAATATGTATGAATATTTATACCTTTTCTTTTCCATTAAAAGGTGATGACAGTATAAATTAAAAGGACAATTTTCATAACGAAAGTACAATCGCTGTTGTCAAAATGAGAAGCAGCACTCCCAAGTAGTAAATGAATTTAATGAAGCTATGGTTATTTATAATTATGAATCTGTATCATTCAGGTAACATGCAATCTGCATTCGTCATTTAGTCATGATACCTGATCTCTAGTGCAACAAGTCTCTTGGTAAGATCTGAAAAATTGGCCTTTAAATCAGCATTTCGCCTATATCAGCTGAGCTGAGCGATCCTTTCCTCTCATTTTCGGGCAAATTGTGCTCAGTACCTTTTTTCGAAATTTCTTTCAGCTCGCTCTCAACTGACGCCATTCGCCTTTCCACCGAGATCAATGTGACAAACAGAAACACTACACAAACGATTGGGCCCAAAATCACCTAGAGAGCGCGAAACAACCTAATTTCCATGACGGGAAACTTTTGGAAGGTTTACGTTTACATCTGCAACTTGTTCCATAACGGTAAACGAGTGAATGACAAACTCAGCACCTTGGCGGTTACTAGTATCGGCTTTCAGGTGAAAGAGGAAGAATTCTTGAGTTGTCGTGTTTTCTCTGTACTGATTCCGGCTGACCAGTACATCAGTGTGAAGTATGAGAGTGAGTAATTCGAAACCTGTAAAGAACTTGGTTAATATACCGGAAATAAGGTTTCATTTACATGCATGTCTCTGTCAAAAAAAAAAGAAGAAGCAGGTCGCACTAGCTGAGCCATCATGAGCAGTGGTATGAGACTATCTGTTTGCCTTCCTTAAGAAGATCGTATCTTCGGACGTGTTGAGCATTTTTCAAATGAGTCTCATAAAATCCAACAAAAGTAGTAACAACGGCCAACCAGAGCGAAGTAAAGTATGACAAGGAGCAAATGAAAAGTCAGAATCAAAACAACAAAACAACCTGAAGAGCGGGAAATTGCAAGTGACTAGGTCACAATCGGTGTTACTCTTTGCAACTTATTTGGTTGAGGTGGCAGGAGCTTCAGAACCAATTAAAAAGCAGAGTAAAGCGAAAAAGGGGCACTCTAGAATTACATTCGACAAATATTGACTTACCAACGGTTATTACAAATAGCTGTGACTCAGACAACCAATTCCACGGGTTTTTTTTCATGCAATTTTGACAGATACGTACTGTTTGTTTCTTCATCTAAACGTAAGTTGGCAATTTCTGACGATAGCGGTTATTGCTCCCAAAAAACAAATTTGTACTTAGCCCGCAAATTTGATGCGCGGATTGTTTGCGTGAATCGGAACTGTACAGGAACTTCGTGTACCTGCATTAACAACCAGTTGACACAAAACCGAATTTGGAAATGAGAAACCATATAATGTAAATTTTATCATTAAAGTATGGTTAGTAATTTCTTGTGTCAAATGAAATTGTACGGTTGCAAAATTTTCGCCCCACTAATGGTTCAGTGGAACGACATTTTCGACAAATTTCTGGGTGAGAAATTGTCCACGACTGGTGATCAGTGTTAGAGACAAAAAGAAAGAAATCTCATCAAATATCGAGTAATCTTGAACTTATTTAGTCTATAACAGAGAATAAGCCGCATTTGTCTTATCAAAAGTTTTAGCGACGAGAAGAAAACGTGTTATGATCAACAACACATGCCGGGGAAAACGTTCTGGAGTAAATTTTCTTTAATCTTTACAACCTTTTTGAGAAGTGTGTTCGTCAGGTACTAGATCTACAAGTACACACCCTTCAAAGTCACCTCTTTTGTGTTATGTGATAGGGAATTAGGGAAGCAGAGGAACACTCAAAGATTAACTAAGACTATCATTTATCGAAAAAATGTTTTTAGAGCACAGAAACCATCCCAGCTGACTGCAATGAAACTATTAACTTGATAATAATGCATTGTTTGAGTACTAGTTTCACCGCTTCAGTGGAGAATAAATTCAACTTATTATATATTAACAAAGTGGTCTGCTAACATAGGATGGTTTTAATTGTCTCATGTTTACTTTTGAAAAGAAAACCTGTATGTTATGTTAAAGATGAATTACACCCTTGTGTAACTTAAAGCCAATTGGCTGTTTAACTTCAGTGTTAAGGGCAGGTTACAAAAGGGAGTGTGTGAATTTGAAAGTTTTCAGTAGATTACAACAGTGTGTAGATGCTGTGAACTGAAGCAAAGAAGCGTGGGAAAACTTAACCCTGCCAGTAATTTTCAAGAAATTACGAAACTGAAAAGCCTAACATTACAGGGCATATTGAAGTGTCGACAACATTCTTTTTCTGTGGGAATTCGATAGGGCGATTCACTCAAGAAACGTTTGGCGATTGATCGCGTAACTTTGGGAGCAAGCTATGGCTGCTGTGTTTTTCAAGTACACAACTGATAAGGCGAAATTTCCAAGTAGAGATCAAACCTTTGGCTACAAAAAGAGGTCAGTGGAAGCTTTTTTGACAAGCAATGGTTGGTATTCAGTCAGTAACCAAGTGTTTCATTCCGGTCCTTCGTACGGCACGGCTAAAGAGCAGATGTTATCGCAAGCTAAAGCACTACGAGACATTGAAGAGCTCGTTAAATGGAGACCCTCATTAAGGGAATTCTTCAAAGATACTTTAATAATAGTGGGTCAAGTTTACGACATTGATTCCTTATTGAAAACTTCCGATGTGGACAAGAAACCCACCAAAAAAGAGAAAAAGGGCAAACAAGTGGTAAAGCTCGATTTGGAATCCAGGGAGGAATGCTCCGTCAAGGAAAACCCCGTTTCTCTCAACGACGACTCAAAATCTGAATTGAAAAGCGCTAATGAGACAACCAAACCCGTAAAATTCGGTCATTCGGGCGTGACAAGCCCAGAAAGCCTGCAACTCAAGAATGCCCCTCGTCCTTCCCGAAATCGCCGAATGGGATCTGCCTCGAAGGTGACGAGCCGACCAATTGTAAATTATCCTAAAGCACCCGTCAAAACAGCCAAGAATAAAGCAACCACAAGTATGTTGATTTCTGGTCGTTGTTCAAGCGACATCAACTCAAACCTTTTGACTGCCCTTGAATGCGGAGCAGAACTGGTCTATGACGAAGACGATATGACCCCGTTGTATCTCCCGTGTTTGGAAGATGAAGAAGAGGAAGAACGGTTGGTTGAAGAGGGGCAGCCGTGTAGGTGCCGAGAGTATGGGAGCTTTCATGTGGAGACTTTCGTCAAGATGGATAGTTGTGTGAGAAAACTCTGTTGCACAAATGTAAATGTGGACCCATCAGAGCGAGTTGTGGTCTGATGTTTAAAAACTACAAACAAAACGTTATTGACCCTCTAAATACCACATCCTTTATATCATCATATTGATGCTCTAGTGACTACTTTAAAATAATTTTATGGAAACTTATGAATCCGTTCACAAATGGTTAACAAAATACAACTAATGGGTCACTTCGTTCGTCAGTTAACCAGCTTTTGAGCAAGAAATTAGCAATCATCCCGTCGGTCAGCATTGCGATTGTACTCGAGCGACTTTATTCCGCGCCTCCACACTAATCCTAGTGAGGCGTTGTTGTTCAATAAATGAACGCATGTAGCAGCCTGTCTATCTGATCATTCGGTTGATGGGTCAGTCGGTCAATAAGCGGTTTGATAGTTTGGTAAAATATTGTTCCGTCAGTTTGAGAGGATCGGTAAAGAAAAATAGGGAAATGGAAGAATGTGCTTTTAGACTAGCAAGTATTATAAAACGCCGCCAACCTCAACGACAATGAGGCGAAGGTTGAGATATATATTTTGGTTCACTGACTTGCGTCAATGATTCACAACTTGATTAGTTTTACAACGAATTCTTTTTATATCAATTTTGGTCTTGACCATGAAATGTTTAAATGTCATGAGTAAGGTCGGAATAAAAATAAGTTATTGAGCACGAGTTTTGAAACGTAATAGCTCGAAAAGTCGTCAACAAGTTGTCATGCATTGCGAAACGAACCACACGTTGACCACCAGAGGGCTTTTGAAGAAAAGAAAAAAGGAAAACGTGTTCTTCAATTTAAAGGAACACATTTATTGCCTTAATGTAATGCACATGTCTGTGGATCAAATTTCAGATCAAGTTGGCAAGCGAACGTACATGTAATTTTACCTGCGCCAATCACCAGTAATATAAAGATTTAAATAATCGATCAATCGTCATCGTTGTAAAGAGAATATAAGAAAATCATATGTTTCATAAATCTAAAAATCATTTACAACATTAAAGACAGATCAGTCTACTCTGAAACAAATCTTGTAAAAGCAGAGAAAGATGTTATTCCAATTTCATGAACGTGAGGCTGGGGAAGATCTAAGTCCTCAAAGAGGACGTGATTCTCAAAACTTCACATATCGTGGTCCGACGATCTACCAAATAGCTCGCTGGTGGGCCAGGCCAAGTTCGACGTCCAAGCAACGCATGTGAAGAAATTTCGGTATACTGCCTGGATTGGAAATGTCGAGAGCGTTGTGTTTATAATTGGAAAAGAAAAGATGGTGAGAAAATGGGTAAATGAAGCTCCACACAACTTCAAGCGGCATCGGTATCAAAGGGCAGTCATGGTCTCCAATTTCAGACAAGTTGAAACTGTGTTAGCTTTGATTTCAGAACTAATCAGAAGGTTTAAATGGGGTTTAAAATTTGGCCATCTAACGGCTAACTCAAAATGATCCTTTCTAGAAAGGTCAAAGTTTTTGCGGTTACCTTCTCTTACTACTTCCAGTTAAAATTTGTTAAGTTTTACACCTAACGGCTAAATTTTCTAGCCATTTTACGACTAGCTACTACTTAACCCCATTGAAATCCTCTTTTCAGTTCTGCTTTTAACTAGTATGACTTCTTTTCTAGAAAAATTATTATTATTATTATACACAGATCTTATAAATATGCGATTATGCCTCTTAAGAGTTTGTCTCGTCATGTAAGAGATGTTAGTCAGTCCTTATCCAGGCAGTGAATTGTCCTCGGACTGGAGACTCCTCTTCTGACGAATATTCCAGTGGTGGTCGTGTCTAATCGTTTGGCTTTCTTTTTCTTGCGTCGTAACGCAGTTTGCTGTGTCGAGGTTGACGATCGTTGAAATTCAGATGACTGCAATGAAATTTTAAAACATTAAAAAAACTGAAAGAGAAAATGGGAGGCTTCTCTCCAGGGTGAGTAAAGTCGCAAACTGTAATGATAAACAAGGACCCCCCCCCCCTCTCCCCCAGTAAAAGGAATCTAGCCCCCACATCCGTTAACCCTCATAAGAAAAAAAATACTGATTTACACCACCCATCAATCACTAACAGAGAGAATATAAAAGAAAATGGTCAATTTAATAAAATAGTTCAAAACCGTTAAAGATTAGGGTACTTTTCTGAAAAGCGCTAAAAAATAAACGACAATAGGAAATAAGATAAAGTGAACTGAAATACGCTTTGATAAAAAAAAGAAAGGAAAAACATGAGAAATTTCGAGTGGCTGACAGGAGACTAATTAGCCATCACAAAACGCATCTAAGGAGAGGAACTTGGAAATCAAAACAGAACTGACATGTAAAATGCTTAAACCTTGGTTAATGTAGTACAACTGTAGAGGTCATCCTGCCTTGTCTCCTCCTTTACATTCAAAAGGTGAACAACCAAACTCAGTGACATCCATAGCGATGATATATTTTAAAAACAGACGCTTCCTAAACTACTCCTAGGTACAACTGCCAGTTACAGTGAAAAATCTTACCGTGGCGTTTCTGCCGCGCTCGTCTTCCAGCTGAAGGGTAAGAGTGTGTATCTGAGCACGCAGTTTGTCCATTTGGGCCTCCAGCCTTTCTCGTTTTTCTCGCTCATATTCCAGCTGAGCTTCTAACTCGCGTATAACCCTGAATTAAACGAGACAGAGACCAAATATAACAATATGCTACGAGCAATAACTATTCCCTAATGACTAGCCAGGAAAAAGAACACTGATTAAGTTCAAGTAAATAAAAATTCGCGATCACGAAATACAATTAATGTTTTCCTTATTGAAATTTCCATGAACGCTACTATTTGTTGCTTAAAAGCAACAAAGTGACCGAAAATAAACATTTTACTTTGATTCCGACAACAGCAAGGAAAAAAAGAAAGATCCTTCTGTAATCAGTGTCGAAGTTGAGCAGAATTGCAAGAATTGTTAAAACTGAGGTCTGTGTCATCTTTCGAAGCCGAGGTCGACTTCCGCCATCGCTCAAAACCGAATTCAAAATTCTTTTAATACGCAGGCCTAAAAACTATCGTCTATAGGTATGACCAAACGAAAACTGTACCAGCTAGAACTAAGGGCGTCCTTTTAGCCAATCAGAATTACAAGTGTGGCAACGATGTACCATAATGATGTGAATTGTCTGTCTCTATATGTACCTAGCACTTTCTCTCTCTTCTTCAAGTTTCTTTTGGTCTTCATCCAAAACTCCTCCCAGCTGTCTGTAGTTCATTTTGGCTACATCTAACAGATGCGCCAACTCATCAATTTTCCGCTTAGCACGACCTGCATGCAAAATAATAAGAAAATAAAGGACCTTAATATGGAAGTAAGAGATACAAGGTTATATGATTACTACTTGCGCTCCTAGAATGAAGGTGCAACCTGAATAGAAGTGTCCCAGAGGAAACGTTTCTCCGTTTAAAGACACGTTTAATGGATAATGAGTGAAGGTATGCCTATGGTATAAACGGCTCTTTCAACCATCTCTCAAGTTTACCGAAAAGCTGAAATCGACCACATTCAAATTAGTATTAACCAATCACCCACGAGGAATGTTGGGATGATCGCTCAATACAGGTTCCAAAGTAAAAGGATATTACAAAAGACAATGCAAACAGGCCGTTGGGATTTAGTCAAGGGTGACCACGACCGTTAAATAGAGATGAGCACTTAATAGAGGTAAAATACAGCGTCTGGGGGGAAAGGATTTCGGGACTGTCACAACTGACCGGGTGAACGCTTAATACGATGCCGCTTAATAAAAGTACGACTGTCTTTAAGAAGAGAACAGTGAGAGGAACTTTGAAGCTGATGACAGAAATCAAATAGGCAGAAGGTTCAGGAATAATAACAATAATAATAATAATAATAAATAAGATATAGAAAAATAGGAATAGAAATGAGGTCCCAAATGTGAATGAAACCAGTTATGAAAAAGTCATTGTGGGTATGTATCAGTTGTTTATTTTTTAGTACCTTGGGCGTCTTCAAGTCGCTTCTGCTTGGTGTCCTGAACAAGATCGTCCGAGATTTCCGGTAGAAAGGTTGGAAAATCCTTACCTTCCGGATCTCGGTCGTCGCGAAGAAGAAAAGGAAAAGCTAAAGGATAAAAAGTAGAAACGAAAGAGAAAGGAAGAAGAAGAGGTTTTATAGATACGAGGTTGAGCATAGAAGGTTGTTACATTGGGATCCCTCGTCTGGTAAACCCAGCAAACGTCCTTGCATTAAGCTGACCGGGCAAATATCAAGTTTATATTTTGAGTCCTTGGTATGTCGTTGCCGAAAGTTAAACTCATGGGCGGGAGAATGATTTAAAATCAAAGTGCGGATAAGAAGAAGACCAGGAAAGAATTTCTCCTTTCGACATCGATACAGTATCAAGCAGATAAATGATAAGAATACAGAAAAATATCCATTAGGGGATCACTACTTGATCCAATATAAAATTCTCAGAGCTAACATCATAAGAACTGTATGACAGAAAGTAAGGAGAATTTCTTGTGAGATCTTGGGAGTGAAACGGTTGAGAGATGATTTCATCGGAAACTTGACGTGTTACACGAAGCCAGAATAATGGGATTGAAAAAAGAAAAAAAACCACCCTTGAACGAATCAAAGTATAATGGACTCAACAACGCCGCAAACTTGCCGAGAAAAACAAAGGAGGTGGGTGAGGACGGTGGGTTTTCAGGAGGAAATCAAAAAGAGGCAGTGTCGAGACCAGAAAGAAATTTTAATTGAACAGAATTAGCAAATTTTACTGAGATGAAAGAAAGTCTATCGGATGGAGGGAGCAAAGGCTCAAGATAGTAATTTCAATTTTTATGATACCATTTTGGGGAGAGGAGAATAAAAGGAGAGTACAGCAATAAAACAAAGAGAAAACAGTGATGGGTCAATAATGGAAAGGCAATATGATTGTGACCGTTTCATTAGTCGGTATGTGTTTATCATCATTTAGTCATCAAATTTATTCATTTATTCAGAAAACAGTGATGGGTCAATAATGGAAAGGCAATATGATTGTGACCGTTACATTAGTCGGTATGTGTTTATCATCATTTAGTCATCAAATTTATTCATTTTTTTAAAAGCACAACAATTTCATTTCTGTAAAAAAAAAAAAGGAGAAATAAATTCATTCTCACGGTATTCTTGGGTGAGCCAAACGAAGTAAAAATAACTAAAAGATTAATATAAATAAGTAAATGCACCTCTGGCCTCGGCTTTAGACTGTGGTTCGGATGGCTTGAAGTCTTCTGCTCCTTCGTCTACAACGTTTTCTTCATCGTCTAATGAGCAAGAAAAAATGTGAAATGCAATAGGAAAGCAAATTCTAAGGACGAAACATGCAAACAATGAATGGAGAATTTTAAAAAAGGTAGGTGTTAAATATACTACACATTTAACGAGCTTCGCAAGAAAGATTATTTTAGTTAAGGCGGTAATAAAAACGGGAATTTAATAGAGTCAAATGTATTTTTTAACTATAACTGAACTCTTTATTACAGGTACATGTGGGTTCTGCAGTATTTTTCCTTTGTAAGGTAATGGAATATTCACCTGAGTCGCCTCCAAGAATTGCAACACAGCCAAGGCGACCAAACCTACGGGCCACATCTTTGGGTGTTTCACCAGCGGAGTTGACAATTCTCACTGAGGATTAAAAACAATGACTTATTTTAAATCTAACAAGTCACAAAGGCCGTGAGTTCCACAATGACAGGTTTAAAATGATGCTATCACTGTGGAATAAGTTTATCGTTTCGTTTTTGTTTTGTTTTTTTTTTTATTCCACCGTATTTAAGTGAAAGTACAGTGTAACAACAGAAAATTCTAAAATTTTTACTTACAGTTTGCTCCATTTTCAACAAGCCACTGTAACACTTGAACGTGGCCATTTCCTGCAGCTAAAGTTAAATGACAGGTTATAACACTAAGTAAGAACGAAAGGGATAACGGGCATGTTAGTCGTGCTCTTCGAAAAAAGATGAGTGCTTTTTTGACCAATATCCAAACTCTGTACCTTTATGTGCAGGGGTGGAACCTTTGTCATCCCGTTCATTCACAGATACAACCCCAGTCTCTATTAGCATCTTCAACTGGGCCAGGTCGCCATTGTACGCAGCCACATGGGCAGGGAAAGCTAGGTCTAAGATGAGACACAAACATACAGTAGTAAGAATGTAATAATTATAAGTCATATTTATAATTTATTATATCTCTCACACACACTATAATTGGTCAATTTCAGTGTAGGGCTTGCTTAGTTCAAAAGTTTGAACGCAAAGATGTAATAAATATCTTACTAACTCAATCTGTACTTTAAATTATGGAACCTTTTTTTCTCTTGAGTTCAGTCTGTAACTTACCAAGAAAAGACCTTGAACTTGGTCAGTTATTTAAAGATTGCAGAGCTAGTTCAACACTTTAATGTTATTGCAATGCTTATCAGGAGACAGCCTCTAAGTAGATGCATCCAAAATGCATTTAGACCAAAATTAAATCATTCAAGAAGTGTGATGCACTGATAAACTTACTTTCTTCATCTTCAGGGTGAAGCAAGTCATATTCTGAAAATGGTTAAAAAAAAAAAAAAAGAAAAATGACTAATTGCCCAAGTGAAGAAGGATGACTGTCATGTATTAGGAACTCATACACTGTATGTACACATCAATGATATGTATTTACCAAGTTTAAAATTGAAATTTTTAGCATACAAAGGAAAAAATTAATTTTAGATACCACAGAAGAAAAACTGACATACCTACTGCATTAAGATAGTCAATACAATCCTTTTTGTAGAATTGCTGAGCAAGATTTTTGGGTGTGTCACCCTATTCAACAAGAGAAAGATAAAATAAGACATTCACACAACAGTGTCTAACTAATAAAAAAATTATTTATAATCGTTTGAAGATTTTTGTAAAAAACTATTACCTGGGTAATAAATATCATTACTAATGAATATTTTTTTCACTGGCAGGACTTTCTGAAACCATGGGAGGAGAGTATTTTCCCATTTGGAACACACCTATACATCAAGGGATATCATATTTAACATTTTAATTAACCCACATGAAAAGCTATTCATGAGCCATACAAGAACCCACAAATATGCAGTTTGCTGATGTTGATTGGAAAAGAAGTTCTTAAATTTTTCTCATTAAGAGGGGAGAACTGTACACCTAATGAGAAAACAACTGCATAACTCCCGACCTCCAATCAAGTAATGGCATTCTAGTTTCTTGCAATTGCTTGAGACAGAATGGCATATTTGTCTCATGCTTTGTCATAAGAAGTCTGTAAAAACAATTTGCTTTGAGTATTAGATTTTTCAAAAAGTTCAAATCGTAACTAACATAATGCAAAGTTGCTATACACTACTCCTCACATAGGCATGTACCTGGTCATTGCGCGCATTCATTGTGTGATCAATGCTTGCTCCAGCACAAACAATAAACTTGAGACAAGGAAGATGACCTTCACTTGCAGCCAGATGAGCTGGATAAGATGAACAATATGGGTGTTAAATAAAAAAAAATCATATACGCTTAAAATTTAAGGTAAGTAAATTTACCAGAGGCTACAGCTGGGCAACAAATACAAACCTGGTGTGCTTCCAGAATGATCAACCTCATCCACACTTGCCCCCCACCTGGAGAGAAGCTACATGGAACAACAGGAATAAAAATAAAATTGAGTTTCAAATGATTTCTTATAACATAATTCATTAGGGGCTATTTCATTTTCATTTGCTTTCACATTACAGTGTATGGCACACTTCAGAAAACCATAAACATCAGAAATACCGGTACTCATGGGATGTGATTGCATTCAAAGAAAATACCCAATTGGGTTTTGGAGAATATCAATCTGTCAGTATCAAATCAAAATGTTCATGGTTTTCTGCATCTCACAGTAACTACTAGGTAATATGAATAAGAGGCCAATTGATGCTAGTTTTATTACTTCATTTAAACATGATCAAGAGACTCTTCCTATGTTATACATTGTATTTGGAAGCATATAAGGGTCTGAGGTTACCTGAAGACAGCCCAGTCTCCCATGGAAAGCAGCACAATGAACTGGGGTCCAGCCCATGTTGTCAGTGGCATTAATGTCCTAAATGATATGAAGTTCAACCATATTAAGCCCAATTCTTATCCTGCTGGCATATTAGTGACTTTGTGTATTATTTTGAAATATTATTTTTTAAGGTAAAAAATGACCTTGGCAAGTCAAGCATTGATGATGTTGAAACTTGCACCTTCTTCATACTAGTTGGGAATGACTACCAAATACTTTTTTACACTACAGTATCTCAAATATTGCATATTCATTATCAAAGCATTTATTTATGGTTCAGCTGCCTACTTTGAAATTTTCTGATAACCTAAAGTGGTTCTCAAAAGTAGATGAACAACAATTTGCAATGTGAAGGTTTCATGAAATATTAGGTTGCCTTTGTGCCTCAACATAACAAGCTGGTCTTCTTATTATTAAAATGTTTGGCATAAAGTTATGTCTTCCAGATAACTCACCACACCATGCCTGAGTATTGACTGCAAACAGTAAGAATTCCCATGGGCTGCAGCCAAATGTGCTGCAGTACAACCTGCCACAAAAAGTCATAAGACACTCACTGATCAACTGTCCCAACATATATAGCAGGCCCAGTGTCATTTAAAAGGTGCAATGATTGCAAAATCAAATTTACCTCTATTGTCCTTGTCATTTAGATCAGCCCCATTTGCAGCTAAGGCCTTTAAAAAAAAGAAAAATCAATTATTACACACTACACATTACTGCCATTTCTACACACTCAAAATTCATAACATGTATCTGGCTATCTAACAGGTATCATCACAAATAAATCAAATAATTGTACATTTGTTTGCCAAGAGTGAACAAGTGTTTCACCTGTAAACAAGCATCTTGTCCCCTGATTGCTGCCAGATGTGATGGTGTCCACCCTTGAGGAGTTTTGTCTGAGTGATCAGCTCCATGCCAAAGTAGCCAATGTAAGCACTTTAAAGAAATAAGTAATATCATATTATAAGAAAAGCATCACACAATCAGAAAGAAGGCTTCTCTAAAGGAACTAGGAGCAATGGTGACATCAAAATGGGGTCTCCTCTTCCTCGTTGAGACTTACAAGAATTGTGTGGATAGAAGCTTATGGGGGTTTGTCTCATTCTTATTTTTTTGGTTAATATTTATTAATCTTATTATTTCTACCCTATGTTCTATGAATTACAATGTTAATTTCAAAAATTACTAGAGGATTGAAAATTCTGCTCCATTTTTGTCATTAATAAGAAAATAAATTTCCTGAAAATAATTAATAAAACATAAAATAAAACACTGTTGATTGTCACCATCAAATTAAATATTTAAATGATTACTCCATTGGGAATACATTGTGCCGGATGAGCAAGCATAAAAATTACAAAAAAAGTAATTTCGTTAAGGGAGATCAGTTCTGGTCCTAATTAAAAACACATTAACATAATACACGGTGGGGAATTAACAAATCTGCAAAGTAAACTAAGTCTAATAAACAAGACTGAATTTACTACGCGTACTTGTCGAGCACTCGAGAAATCCACAGCTTTTTAGTCCTATTACATTGTAAGTTCATACCTCTAAGCTGCCATGATGAGCTGCCCAGTGCAACGGAGTGAATTTAAATTTGCCATCAGCATCGTTAATTCCGGCACCTCTTTGGACCATACTTTGCAATTCCAAAACGTCGCCATAGCGAACCGCTTCATGAATATTAGCGAGACGAACTTTCTCTGCATAATAAATCAAAATGAGAAAATAATACAATTAGCTGGTAAACCGAATATTGACCTACTTGTTTTCACTGAGATTACCTGGCATCGCTAGATAACTGAATTTCGAAAGATCGAATGAATATATATAGAGACTATTTTAAGAAGATGGCGGCACGTTCACAAAACATTCAGTTGCCATGAAGAACCCGCTGCCCACAAAAACAGCGAAAAGACTCAACTTCCGGTATAAATTTAGATTTCTGTACAGGTCAACCAATGGCGTCGCAGATTTTCTAGGTGTGCATTTCAATCAATTTCCGCGCGAATGATTACGAGGCTTTCGTCCAAATTTCCGATCGTTCGAAGTTCATAGTCTATATCGTAGGTTCTCTCTAAAGGAAAACATGGTGAAGTTACATTATTTCAAAAATCAACGTTACAGCAAGCTTAAGGGACAATGCGAAAGAGATGAAAGACTTTTTGTGGATCCTGAATTTCCGCCCGAGACGAAATCATTGTACTTTAGTCGAGCGACACCTCCCGAGCACGTAGAATGGAAGAGACCCAAGGTATTGTAACATTAATTTTCAGCAGGGCTTTCTTTTATTTGAGTTATGTAGACTAACTAACGCTGTGTCTCGATCTCGAGCATGGCGGTGATCCGATATGTGTTGGAAAATACGCAGACTTCTAACACATTTATCGCCTATTGAATTCATTTAAATGTTTTGCTGTACATTGTGTTGCTTAACGAGAGCGTAGGTGAAAAGTTGGGTTATTCTGCCTTTTAAAATACCTTCTTAAACCCACATTATTGGAAAAGTGCTAAATTATTTACGTTAGCCAACGTTAGACATTAAATTAATACATTAATCCTTTAATATTGTTGTGTCTCCAAGCTCTTGTAAGGAGCTGTTTAAAATTCTGGTGCCCGTACATAATACGTGACGTGTGGAACTTTCAAAACGATAGATTGGTTCGTTTTTTAGCTTCATTCCAGCGATATTTTGTAATCGTAGTGATATTCCGCCTTTTTTGTATCATGTCGATGTACCAACGCATTGTAGCTATATAGTTTTATGGAACTTCTGGATTGATCGAGACGGTTAGAAAACATAAACATATTTAAATTAATTGCCTCGTTATTATGTTATGGTCACTTGAAGTATCTGCTTTCGCAGTGCTTGATGAGTTTTGCCTCAAACCACAGAGCCAAGAGAGAAATTGAAGCTTTTTTTGGTTTTTTTTTTCATAAATATGAAAACTAAGTCATAAGTGTTTTATCGTTCCCCGAAATGTACAGGCTTGAAATGGTATATTGCGCTTTTCTTAGGCGCAGTTACGTTGGTTCGCGTCCAATTCATTTACAAATATTGCACCATGATCAATTAGCTCCCTATAGTGTTATAGTGAAGCAATACTATGCTATAAATGAACAAAAACTATGTCCTTTTTTTATACTTAAGCAAGATATTTATTTGCGGGCATTCTACTGTGATTGAATTCATTACACTCTTAGAACTTACCAGAATGTGAACGCCCATCCACTTCCTTCCCTACCCCCCCTCATAGCTATTGATGTGCTCGCATATCACTGAGAGACATTCTGGAGGGGCAAAGGTGAGGGAAGGGTGTGGTTGAAATAAATAATGGATGAGGGAGGAACAAAATGTTTTAGGGAGAACTGAGACCTTTCAACATAACCCTGGGTTGAAGTACCACAAATTATGATAAAATACAGGGAAAAATAGTGTTTGTATACTTTTCATTTCAACCTTGACAGACTATAAAAGCATTTGAATTTCTTCAAGATTGCTTGGGCAGCCTTTCTAACTACCAAAACTTGATAGTAAGAACTATTAAATCAGCCAAAATGAGTAAAGGAAACATATATGCTAACAAAACTTTGGTAAACCAGGGACAGATCAAATATTAGTTAGCTTTAGGAACAAGATCTTAAAAAAAAAAGAAGAAGAAGAAGAAGATAAAACTCCTTCAGCTAAGTCAACCAAGTTGTGGTCATAGGTTACCTGGCAAGGCGGGAAGAGGGCTGAACCAACTTACTCTTTGCAAACACTGACCAAAATTTGATTACATAAGAGTAACCCTTTGCAGTGATTGAGCATGAGTAGTAACAATCCCAAGGTTGAATTAAGAGGTTGTTACAATGCCTAACCTTAAGCATTTGCCTCTAACTGGTTCCACCATTAATTGGTTTTTGAAATACAGTGAATATAGAACATCAGAACTTTCCATGTACATGTGGTCAGTCATGTGAGGGGGAGGGCAACGTTTTAGGGGCTCTATTCTTTCATAGTCTTTTAAAACTTTCTCAGGGTTCTTTCCCTTCCTCCATAAAACAATCACAACAAAGACAAGTTCCTTTAGACCTTTGCATTTATATAGGTTCAAAACAATGACAGGTCAAACTAAAAAAGATTAAGAGTAAACTCTGATGGATCCTGTTTTCTGCATTTTCCTTAGGACATCTGTACTCCTGACCCTCCTCAGCTGTTTGTGGATGGAATGAGCAGCCATGATGTCACCCAAGGCAAACTTGGGAATTGTTGGTTTGTTGCAGCATGTTCCTCATTGGCTTTGGAGCCATCTCTGTTAGAGAAGGTCTGTATATCTTGGTAATGTTATGACAGTGCACTGCTTGTGGAGGTTGATTGCATGTGAAAGGTCAAGAGTGAAGGTTAAGAGCCTTGTGAAGCCTTGATTTCTTTCCATTCAATTCCTATATTGCTTTAACTGCAGGCAACCTGTGAAGATCAATTTATCCCTCTTATCAACCACAGATCAGATATTTTAACATTATTTGTGTTATTTGTTTTTACCTGTTCAGGTGATTCCAGATATAAAGCATCAAGAGTGGGACCCTGAAAATGTTGGTAATTATCAAGGAATCTTCAGGTTCCGGTTCTTCCGTCAAGGTCAATGGACTGAAGTTGTCATTGACGATCTTCTGCCAACAATTGCTGGAAAACTGGTGTATATCCACTCAACAGACAAGAATGAGTTTTGGAGTGCCCTAGTGGAAAAAGCATATGCTAAGTAAGCAAAGTTTTTGGAAGTTATTTAGAAACAGTGGACTGTAATACTCCATATGCCAATGGAGTTGTGAAGTGAAATGGGTAAAAACTTTTTTTCTTTTTTAAGAATGGCAGGTTCATATGAAGCATTAGAAGCAGGTAATACTGGTGATGCCTTAGTAGATTTCACTGGTGGAGTCTGTGAGTCGATCAGCCTTAAGGATGGAGGTTACAGTCAAGATCAGGAGAAGAGACTGGTCTTGTTCAAAAGTATGCAAAGAGCAATGCGAGATAAATCCCTGATTGGTGCTTCAATAAGAGTAAGTGCTGTACAAACAGTGGGTGTGTACTTGCACATTATACATGTATACTAGTTGGATTCACAAGGACCTAAAAACTTGATTGGAAAATGAAAGGAATTAAAATGAGCATCGCAATTACTTTTGGTTTCCCTTGTGAAAATATATTCAAATGTGAGAAAGTCTTAATTAATAAAATGTGGAACTTAGTTGTGATGTACAGGTTGCCTTATAGTCAATTAAGTCTTATTTTGACAGGTAGCAAACACTGGAGGTGTGTCAAGTATTCACCTTGCAAAGAAGTTTATCATATGAACACATCAAAAATTTGATATTTTGACATATCCCTTTTTTTTTACAAGATCAAAAATAGAGATGAGATGGAAAAGCGCACAGAGACTGGTTTAGTTATGGGACATGCATATGGTGTCACAGCAGTAAAGAAGGTAACTTCAACTTTTTATCGCATGGTAATAGGTTATAGTTGCTGTGCTCAGTTGTGATTGGATGTCATTCTATAGCAGCTGCTGTGATCAGTGCATCTTATGGATCAGGTTCCCTGTGTTCTGTTGCTGCACTGCTCTCCTGCTGTTGTGTTTTTTGATCATCAGCATTTAGCAAATTGACCACAAACAAATAAATTAAAAAGCAAAGTAAGAAAAGAAAAACAACATTCTCAAACTGCATGGTGACAAAGATGTAGATTCTAGGCTGCAGGACATACATTGTATATATTCTAAAGATAGTAACTTCATTAGGTATGGTTTGTTTAATTCTCCACTCAGAGGAAATTTTCATAAATACTGCAATTTTTAGCAACTGGTCCCAGAAAAAGGTAACTTTGCAGTGATTTACACACAACTATAACAGATAAAATTGCAACCCACACTCGGCCATACAATATACTTGTTTCTTTCAGATCACCATCGGTGAGGGTCTTTTCAGTCTGTTCAATCGACAACATCTTTACATGATTCGTCTGAGGAATCCTTGGGGTCAAAAGGAGTGGAATGGACCTTGGAGTGATGAGTAATGATGACTGAAAACTTATTTATTTTTTTTAAATTGATATTTTATGTTATTCTTATGAAATATTCTTGTTTAAAACTATGATAAGTATCTTAATTTAATTATTATTTATTACTTTTAATTATCTTATTTTAATGTTATATTATATTATACTTATACTGGTTCAAAAAAATATTATTCCCATTTATTATTTATTACAAACAATCACCACTTTGAGGGTTTATTTGGAACCAACATAATGACCAGTTCCCAGTTTGCTTGTTACCTAATGTGTGGTAGAGTGCTGCACCAGTATCACAGAGGTCATGGGTTCAAATCTCATACAGGCCTTAATTTCTTTTAGGCCTTATTTTCACAACTACTTAAGTAGTGTTCTTAACTGTAAGGATTGCTTCCATATTAGAATTATGATATCTATTTTGAATTCATAATTTTTTTAGCTCTGAAGAGTGGAAAAAGCTTAAATCAAGTGATAGAGAAAAGCTTGGGATTGTCTTTGAAAATGATGGAGAGTTTTGGTTAGTGCATGTACTCTTTTTTAACATATTTTACCCATTACTTGGTGTTGTAGTTTTAGCATATCTTTGGCTTCTCTTCTTTACATGTTTTGAATTTTGTGCTCACCCATATTGATTGTTTTTGTGTGGTTTTTCTTGTCTTTAGGATGTCTTTTGAAGACTTCTGCTCACACTTCACCAATGCCACCTTGTGTCATGTCATCAACACATCAATATTTTCACTCTCAAACAGATGGCATGTGTTTAAACACAACTATCAATGGTCACCAGGCTCCACTGCTGGTGGGTGTGTTGAAAATAGAAGCACTTTCCTGAAGAACCCACAGGTACATAACATTTTTCTATGAGCTTAAATTTACCTGTGTGTTCTTTCATTTAGTTTGTTTTACCCAGAGCTTGCATTTTTTTCTGTTGGAGAACCCAAACCTTGTAATAGACATTTCTTGTTTCTTAGCTAGAAAATGTTCTCACACAGTGCTCTCTCTACCCATGTACATGTAAATGAGTAGCACCAAACCATCAGGGGAACCTGAAGAAATGTTATGGGGGAGGAGGCAGGGGTCCGGGAGCAGGAGGTTACTTGAAATAAGTGAGACTTGAAAGATATGAGCACCAGTAGCTTTGAGTCATTTGGCTTGAAAAGTTAAGTGTCTTTGCATTTTTCTGTTTATCACAACTTCTTGAGGTCTTGCAACTACTATCAATTGAACATTTAATTTTGTCAGTATGCTTTCACTGTAAAAGAGGAGGGAGAAGTGATGATCTCGCTGATGCAGGAAGACACAAGAAAAGCGAAAGAACATGGCGCAGAAAACCTCACCATTGGATATTTTGTTATGAAGGTAACACTGCTAAAAACAGCTACCAATTATCTGGGTGAGATCTTTTCATTTCTGAATATGCAAACCATATTTGTCAGAATTCGTTTGTTTCAAGTCAAATATTTGTCATTTTGGGGTCTGTCTTAATGCCTATCAGTCCCCATCTTCGTGACGACTGTCAGTTGATTTTTTCTGCCACAATGTTTGTTTATGTGTTTTTGACTGCTATACTACCACCTACATGTGCATGTCCGTCAGTTTGTGTGATCATAGTTGGTGTACGTTTACAATGTGTTTCGGTATCGGTGTTTCTATTTGTCTGTTTATTGCTGTCCCTGTCTGCCTTTTTGGTTTCCTCGCTTAGTCATTTTTCTGGCCTTCAATTTGACTATCCTGTACTGTTTTCGCTTGTCGGTCTGTGTGTGTTTACTTGTCTGTCTGACTGTTTGTCTATCTGGTACAGGAGTACGTTTACGTACGTATGTTCAGTTTTGAGTCGTTTGGTCATTTTCTGTCCATTTTTGCCAGCCCTCAGTTTCATTGTTTCGCCCTCAGGTGGAAGAGAACAGAAAGTATCGGTTACATACGATGTTTGAAAAAGCTGGAGATTCTATCTTCATCAACGCACGAGAAGTGGTGAACAAGTTTCACTTTAAGAAAGGAAGATACGTGGTGATACCATCCACATACGAGCAAAACAAAGCTGGTCAATTCCTGATGAGAATATTCACTGAAAAGTCCTCAAAAGCAATGTAAGCATCCCTCTACCTACCTCGGTACCTGACGCTGACCAACTGTCCCAAAATCAATGTTTTCATCTCTGTTATTTGTCTATTTTTGTAGGTTTCTAAACCAGGAGCACTCCACCGGAAGTAAAATATTTTGCTGCTTCCCACAGTGTCGTACTCCTGTCTGCGTGCTTTCCGTTACCGTTAAATCAGCTGGTGGACTTCAAAAAACCAGCAGACTATCAATGAGTAAGATAACAAAGTGTTACTGCCAGTAGTGTAAGATTTATCGGAACTATAACAGCTTTGTTACTAGTTACAAACATTGTTGAATTCAGTATGTGGTTTAAATTGAGCAGTAACACTCGGTAGTCCTTTTTAATGAACGTCACCTTTGTGGGTGACACATCCGTTGCGAACTCATGCGTCGTTCCCGATGCGTTCATAACCTCTCATGATGAGGGATCTCTTTTAACTGGGCCCTTTCCGTGGACTAGTGTATACTTTTTATCGGAAGGAACCCATTTCGGTATCATCACCGCACTCGTCACCGTTATTACCATCGTTCCCCGAGGTCGCGATGCAGCGAGGCGTTAAGAGCCTGTTTTCATAAAAGAATCAGGCTCTAAAGAGTGGTGTTTTAAGCTTTCTTAAAAGTCAATTCGATTTCCTAGTAGGTGAAGCGTTTTCTTAAATTTAACCGAATTGTATATTATTATTTTATTTCTGATAATTGCTTTTTTTATTTTGTAATAATTTCAGCACCTGATCCATATGCCACGATCAGCTGTGAGGGACGGAAAGTCAAGACTCCTGTGCAGAAAGACTCTTTGAATCCACAATGGAATACTGGCGCGCTTTTTTTTGTCAGAAGACCTCAAAAATCTCGCTTGGTTGTACAGGTAAGGATAACTAACAAGTGGTCGCACTCATTGCTTCATCGTTTACCCGTCAGTAGTATTGGATGACAATAGGAGATTTTTAATTTAGTATATTGCCACACCTTTTTCTGTTTCGTAGGTCTTCCTCAAGAGAATTATACTTATTCGATATCTCTCCCCCCTCCCCCCCCCCCCAAAAAAAAGTCGTGTATTTTCATAGTTCTCCTATGTAGTGAAGCTTTCGTGCTTTGAAAGAAATTTCGTCATCAACATGGCCGTTGCGTGACAGCGGGTACAAGTACTTATGTGGGTGTCTTTCTCGTCGTCTTTTCATTTAGGTGTGGGATTACAACTGGTTCTGGGACTCGTTCATGGGTCAAGCCAAGATAGCAATTGATATTAACAACAAAGCCGTGACAGAAACACATCAGCTGATGGGAAGAAGACGAAATCACCAAGTACAAATGCCGGGTGTTGTCACCGTGGAGGTCAAATGTTACCAGGATCTGCTTGCCATCTAATTATATGAATTGTATTGTTTTGTTGTGAACGATAGATCTTATCAATGTCAGCTCTTATCTGACCGAAGGGAAGTAGTAAGGAGTTAATTGTACTTGAACTCTCTCCATTTACTAGTTGTGGTCGCATTTTAAGACGTAGTTTCTGCAGAAAGTAGATACTGACATTACGCAAGTACGCGCGTACTTAGTTCCAATACCGCCCTTTTTTTTTTCTTTCTTTCTGTTGTTTTTTAAGGTGGCTGTCACCTGTTTCTTTGGCGCGAGATTTCTAACCCGAAGAACCAAAAACAAATAAGGCAGTGTGTAGCTTTTTTCTGTCATGATTGCTTTTTTGATAATTATTTAAAACATTTTAGGCTTTTGCCATAGTAACTACAAATGACATGATAACACTCGATTTGGACAGACTTTAACTTATTTAACTCAAACCTATGAAAAACGTGGAAACTGGTACGAGCTTCCTTCGTACCAAAGAGCCGGAATTGGAGATGAGCAGAGATTGACACTCAAATTTCAACCCATTCGCGAATAGCCGCACTGGCGCTTGAATATATAAGGATCCTAGTATATGAAATGGCGGGCTAGTCTGGCCTGAGCCAGGTACCTCATTTCGGATAGGGATGGGGCTGAATAATTCAGCACTGGTAAAAAGGGAAACTTTTTGCGATTATCATATGAAGACCTTTGTGGAATATTTTCAATGACATAAAGCCGCAGTACAATATATAGAAAATTGGCATGCTTTTAAATTAAAGGTTTCTCTAAGGGAAATTGTTCATATTTCGGACAACAGATATCGTTGACAAACCACGATCTAGAACAGTATTTCGTTGTTGAAACAACTGGAGTTCGTGTAATTCATTACACTTTTGATGAACCATTAATATTCTATTTGACACAATTTTTGTAAGTGGAGGGGCAACTTTTAATAATCGTTTTTGTAGAAGTTAAATCAAAACTATTTTTCTAGTCGCCAGGAAAGCATTACAAACCGCACTTATTAACAGTTATTGTATTTCCCAGTTAAACGCCAGGTACTTTCATTAACTTGAGCTGGGCATTGGAAACGCAATGAGCGAACTTGAGCTCTCTCGCTGAATTACAGCTTCGCTGGTTTCTAATGAATAGTTGTCTGAAATATTTCACTGGCATGCTAAATGCTTCTAGGAAGATAATGTTTACTTATCTTAGAAGTGTAAGCTCGTATACCGTAGTTAATATATTTCTAAGCTTTTATGTGAGCTATAACTTATTTTGAAGTATTTAACACACACTACAAACTTTATTAGACACTTTTACACAAATGATACAAAAGAAAAGCAAGAACCTTAAATGGTGTGTACCAGTGAAAAGTTTTGCCATTTGTATTACAGATGACAAAAGATAGAAATTTTACAGCTACCAAATTGCAAACGAAGAAAAAACTATCGTTACGACCGCAAGTTTGTTGTAGTAAAGGGTGGAGCTGGTTAGTTCTTTAAATTTTTTCTCTATACTACTATCGTAAGAATTTTGTAACACTCTTATGTGGATTGGGGAATTAATGAGAAATAAATTTTCAAATTCGAAGTGAACCGTGGATGTTTCCAATGATTAAACGAAAGAAGGAAAAGAGCCGCGCGCGTGACATGCATGTACGCGAGTGTGATTGATATAAGTGGAGATTTCTGCGTTAATTTGCGCTGTTAAAGAAGCTGTGACATAGTATTTCGTTTCATTGATATGAGGTTCTTTAGCATAAGACAGAGGGTATTTGTTTTAGAGGTGAAATCTCTCATAATCGTCCAATAACCAGTCTTTATGAAGTTTACTCCGCGAGATGGTGGTACGATCTGAGGTAATGTTGTAGGTACACTGTTACCAGCGAAATTACGAGGGTGGGGATATGAGCCTTAAAGAGATCTCTCTTAAACTGATGACTGACGTAATATTTCTTACTAACTCTTCTTATGAGTTCATTTTCGAAGACAAAGCAAGATGGATTTTTTAAATAGACTCGACCCAGGCCCTTCTGTGCGCCATCATCCATAAAAACCCCGATGATGTTACCTACTAACAAAATCAAAATTTTGACACACTTTACGCCTCTATGAATCCAGTTAAGCGTGAAATCGTATCTGTTTGAGCTATGGTAAAGTTGCATTATTTCAAGAACCAGCGTTACAGCAAACTCAAGTCACAATGCGAAAAGGAGGAGCGCCTGTTCGAAGATCCCGAATTTCCAGCGAACGATAAATCGATATTTTTCAGCCATGCACCGCAAGAACAAATCGTTTGGCGAAGACCTAAGGTATGATTAAAGCCCTTTTAGTCCTTGGTCTATTTTCAGCTTCATACTATGCTTCAAGAAAAGTATTAAAGTATTGAATAATCCTTGAATTTCCTTGTAGACATGTAGGACCAAGGCTGTTTCAGTTGTTGATTATGCTTATCACGGATGTCACCTTGTTACACGAATTTACCGTTCTTACTCGGATTATTTCGCTTAGAAAAGTAAAGAAAGCCCTCCTTCTTAATCAAATTTGAAAAAAAACTTCTAATCCGAATAGATTTTGACGGATAGAACGAAACAGTCAGAGAAGGGAACAATCTAGCGATGTTGCCAACGCAACTAAATGGGGGTTTATTGTCCAAGTTAAACTTTTTAAATTAGCATAGTTCTTTTGAAAACAAAAGGCCTTAATGTTAAGATAGCTCGCTCTAACGAGCAATGCTTGAAGAGTGATTTACAACCCAACATTCGTAAGAACTTCTTGTCAGATTTCAAGCTTTAGGTTTGTATAATTTTGTTGGGGCGATATGGAAAGTACGTTTTGTTTTGAAACTTATTGTAAACCCAATAGTGGCGAGCGCTTCGTTGATTCAGACAATCACATGAATATTGAACATAACACAACTCACGCCAGAGTGATTGAGAAATATGATGAACGCTTCAGGTGGTCTGGAAATTAGACTACCATTTTCCAATCCCTCAGGTTCAACGAAAATTTAATGTTATTTCATACTTTAGAGTGGAGTAAGTGTCTAATTTCACAAGCTTCTTTAGTTTCTATTCCAAACTATTTACTAAGTCTCCCTCGAGATAATAACTTTATAACAGACTTCACAGGGAGGTAGAAGGGGGTGAATGTTCTACATTGAATAAGTATACAAAGTACTCAACAACAAAAAAATCGATGGGTAATTGAACTATTTAAACTTTATCTTCTTTAATAGAGACGTAAACACAAAACGATCAAGTGTTGATCAATGTTATTTCAGTCACCCGTTTGATAATTCAAATATTTACTTTTCAAGGTCAGTTGTCAGTTTCTATAATAAGGTGTCAGTTGAAAAGTCGAGCCATTTTTCAATTGATTCTTGGAATGAAGAATTTCTAAATCAAGAGGCAAAATAATGATTTAAGAAGATAACATTCAAGATCGGTCAATTCATGGATTTTCTATCACTGCTTCATGTCTGAGTCAAACATTAAAAAACTGATTTTCTAATTTTTTCGCACTCAAGGGTGTAGCTGAGAAAGGGACGGATCCTTGGCTGCTTTGACTCCCACCACAATTCTTTCTTAAAGAACAAATGATAATCATTTTATGATTACGATAATAGTACGATAATAAAACGTTTTCAAGACTTCAAGCCCTCATCTCCACTTAGATCAGTAGAAAATGAACAAAAAGGAGACGTCATACTACAAAAACAAGAAAGTTTACCACGCTCCTATGTATGGAAAGTAGAGGGTTTGACAATTTTTCTCTGTTACCGGGAGCCCACTCTTGCTGTTACAGATTAATTTGCATAACTTTAAGGAATCTTAATTGATTAGGCGGCATCCTGCACGCGGTTATAAGGAAAACCAATATGTTGTTTACACCTAACGTTAAAGACGGTGTCATATCAACATTCTTGGCTAGAATATTCAATTTATCAAATATATTTGTCATTTTTAGGACATTTGCGAGCCAGATCCTCCAAGCCTGTTTGTTGACGGATCAAGCAGACATGACATCACACAAGGAAAACTTGGAAACTGTTGGTTTGTGGCATCATGTTCAACTCTGGCCCTGGAACCTTCACTCTTGGAAAAGGTATACACCTGACTGAAAAGAGTTTAACACAATGCTAAATGTGACTGGCCTTATACTCAAGTCTATCTCACGGATAGAACCTCCTGAGGACGGTTTAAAAAGGCAATAATAATCATATAATGAAATCCGTCTAAGGCTGGATCAAATAAGTAAGGTGGCTTGGAGGGGAGATAGGCTGGAAAAGACAAATAATTTGCTAAAGATATTGTTCAGTTGGTATTGGTGGGAAAGCGAAACCGGATTTCATACATAATGTTCAGAGCGCAAGGCTACGGAACGAAAATCCGGGTTCGAGCTCTGACTGGGGATTTGTGCTGTGTTCTTAGAAAGACACTTAATTGTTACAATGCTTTACCTCACAAAAGACTATAAAAGTATCTCGGCAAATCTTTGCAACAAAAACTTGACGCAGGGAGGACAGTGATGGATTAGCATCCAATAATACTTCGTGTCACCGGGAGAAACAAGGGATTAACTCAGAAGACCGTTAGTTCTTTCAGACAAGACAAACAGCTACCGTCAAAGAAAAAATGTTCTAGTCCGGCCAAGCCTATGCTTAGAGAAAAGTAAATGCTTGAGGAACACGACTTCTACATGGTCTGCCACTTTAAAATAACTATTATTCGATAGCAAAAAAGAAAGAGAGAAAAAAGGCACTTTGATGTGAACCTGGTGTTCCTTTATAACTACGCTAGGTTATTCCTGACATGAAGAACCAAGAGTGGGATGTAAAAGACGTTGGAAAGTACCAGGGAATCTTCCGGTTCCGGTTTTGGCGTCAGGGTGAATGGACTGAAGTGGTAATTGATGATCTTCTTCCTACAGTTTATGGCCAATTGGTCTTCATCCACTCCTCGTTGAAGAATGAGTTCTGGGGAGCGTTACTTGAGAAGGCTTACGCCAAGTAAGTGAGAGTATGATTGGTAACGACTACATTTTTAACTTCAAAACTGTGATTGTTTTAAAACACGGTTTTGCAACGACAACGATTAGAGATGTTTTGATAAGCACCTCAAAGCATTTTTATCTAAATGCCGCGAAGTTGAATAATCTTTAGTAAAATAATGAAAACCACAAGAGCTCAGTAAAAACCGTCAGTAGCTTGCACACGAGATTTATTTAAATAAATTTCAGACTGAGCGGAAGTTATGAGGCTCTGGAAGCAGGCAATATCGCCGACGCTCTGGTCGATTTCACAGGCGGGGTATGTGAGTCAATTAACCTTAAAGACGCGAACTACGATGACGATGAAGAGAGAAGACTGGAATTTTTCAAAAGCATGCAGAAGGCCATGGATAACAGCTCTCTTGTTGGTGCTTCAATCTCGGTAAACACTCCTTCAATGCTGTTATCGTGTCTCTCTTGTTTATGTGTTTATTAATCTGTGCATCTATTTCAAATCGAATTGTTTTACTTTTTTAAGGCCAAGAGCCATGAAGAAATGGAAGAACGTACAGAGACTGGTTTGGTAAAGGGACATGCATACGGAGTTACTGCGATAAAAAAGGTAAGTAAATTTTGGCGCCTCAGGCAAGGTAATTTTACTCGTCCGATGAGCTAGATTTAACAAACGAATTCTATAAATAGCGCCTTCTTATATCAAAATGTTATGTTTGTTTGTTGCTTGTTTTAGTTTTTTTACGGTGAAATTTTGATTTTGTTTTTGATTTTTAATCCTTTTCTTTCCTTTTTTTCCTAATTTTTTTTTTTAAGATCACCATTGGTGAAGGCTTATTCAACTTGTTTAATCGAGAGCATCTCTACCTGATCCGACTTAGAAATCCCTGGGGACAAAAAGAATGGAATGGCGCGTGGAGCGATGGGTAACAAGCATGCAGTCAATCTTTGGCTTGAAAAAACTTAGTTGTATGGTCTAGTTCTTGTTATGAGACGCCCTTTTGTGTTTTGTGTTTACATAGTTCAGAGGAGTGGAACAAGCTTGAGGCAGAAACAAGGAAAAAGCTAGGAATTGATTTTGAAGATGATGGGGAGTTCTGGTCGGTTTGAAAATACCATAATGATGATGCATGCGAAATTTTTTAACATATCAATAACAAATAATAACAGGTGTTTTCCTAGACAGTGTTTACCAAGGTTTCTATACTTGTTCCAAACTCTTACCGTAGATCTTCAAATCTTTTATCAATAACGTGTGATTTATGAGGCCTTTAATTTCCCATTGTAGAGAACAAATGATTCTAGGAACTCCTATCTTTACACCCCATGCTCTAACATGCCATGTCATTATTCACTCGTCATATGTACTATCATTTTGTTATTTTTATTATCATTACCAAAATTGTTGATGTTGTTTTTTGGGGGTTATTTCCAAACATTCCTGTACGCATTTCTTTAGAACTTCCTGTCGAAACCGGTTGTTTCAATTTCTGCCATATTTTTCCATTTTTCACAGGATGTCGTTTGAAGATTTCTGCCGTTACTTTTCCAAAGCCACCATGTGTCACTTGATGAATACATCAATATTCTCTTTATCTAAGCGATGGCACATTTTTAAACACAAAAACGAATGGAAGCCCGGTTCATCTGCGGGAGGATGCGTTACCAACCAAGCCACATTTTTCAAGAATCCACAGGTATTGAAAATAATTTGATCGGTCTCATACAATGGGCCATGCCTCACTGGACATCAGCTAGTAAATCACTTCCCACTTCAACCTTAATCCTTTAACCCTAGGAATGACAAGCATCTTATTTCTCCCTTCAATATCAGCCCAGAATCAAACATTAAAGTCACGAGAATAAATCAATAGATCACCAACTAAAGAAGGTCTTGATTGTTAAACAAATTCTCCATGTCAGCACCTTAGGAAATGTATAGAGAGCAGTATGGAGAATATGCATATTGATGTTTGGGTGTAAAGGGTTAAGTTGCTTCTGTCTACCTACAACTTCAAAACTGACAAACGCCTCCCTAAAGGTTTCCTTGCACGTTGAAGCTTCCCCAAATATCATCACCACAAATTACCATTTTTGCGTTCTTAGTACGCTTTCAGCATAAAAGATGATGACGCAGGAGAGGTAATGATAGCACTGATGCAGGAAGATACGAGGATTGATAGAGATGAAGGCGGAAAGAATCTAAGTATTGGATATTACGTTATGAAGGTATTACATTTATAAGAGTAGAAACGTTTTCGGTTATCTACCAGTCGATAGCTGTTAATCAGAACCAGGGAAAAAGAAGGTCTCCTTGACATTGATGATATTTGCGCTCAGGAAAGCTTGCTCGCAGAATGTCTGCGTAGGATGCTGAATGAATAAATAAGAAGGAAAAGAACAGGAAAAAAAATTAAAAACTGAAATGAGGATTTCAGAAAAGGTCATACGTCGTACCATAAAAAAAAAAGATAGAATTTTTTATCTATGATAGATTTTGAGGCGTTTCTAAATATCAGCCAACTTGTAAATTAGTACAGTTTCCTTAGAAACCTGCCCCTTTAGTAAATTAGAAGTTGCAAGACGACTCTATGATTATAGCATAAAATGATATAGAAAAAGAACGTTCTTCTCAGCAGAAAATTTTGGAAAATTACTTTCTATTCAAACCCATAGTCGTGACAAAATATACTGGTATTCAGAATTTATTCATTTATGTTAAGGTGGAAGAGAATCGTGGCTACCGTTTACATGTAATGATGGAGAAAGCCGCTGACTCTATATTCATTAATATGAGGGAAGTGGTTAACAGGTTTCAGCTGAAGACGGGGAGATATGTTGTTATACCATCAACATATGAGCCACATGTGGCTGGGAATTTTATGCTGAGAATCTTCACCGAGAAATCTTCTAATGCGAGGTATGTAACTCGAGGAAGCTTTTGTGTGCAAATACTATCTCCAGTTACTTTAGAAAGCCCGGGGCGTAGATTGGGAGTTATTAGAAAAACACAGTTTTAGTTGTGGCACCTTTGTTTATATCAGGGAAAAAGAAAGAGTGAAACAACGATTCGAATAAAAAAGAAATTGGAATCAAATAAAACGAGAGAAAAGAAACAAAAAGCTTGCTTATCAGTGAATGGAAATATGGTTTTCGAGACGTACGAAACGCTTATCTTTTCATTCTTTTGTTTGTTGTGTCGTTTGGTTTCAGCCATTTAGCTCTCTGTATGTCGATGCATTGCTGCGCTCCATTGCAGTCATTTCCTGGGTCAGAATCGTTTTAACTGACATGGAATCTACGTCTACAGTTTTATTAGGAAACCACTGGCGTGTTGGTTGTGGGCAAAAGATTAAAAACTCTTGGTATGGGGTATCACACGACATGCCGTGTTTCTAACCCTTTCATCCCTAAGATCTCACTAGTAATTCTCCTTACTGTTTGCCATACACTTATTATGATGTTAGGTCGGAGAGTTTGATACTGGATCAACTAGTAATCCATAATTCATATTTTCCTTTTTTCTCTTCACTTGTGTACTTGATGTTGTATTGATATTGTTAGGAGAAATTCTGTCTTGGTCACTCATGGGAGTTAAAGGGTTAACTTGTCCTGTTGATTTTTCGTAGAGCATTAGTAAAGGATCATCCCAAGAGAAGTAACATTTGCTGCTGCATCCCAAGATTTCGCACCCCTGTTTGCATCCTGTCTGTTTTTGTAAAGTCAGCGGTTGACCTCCAGAAGAGAACGTTGCTAAGTAAGGATGTTACCTCAATCAGATATAGAGCATATAGATGGCAAATAAATCTCATTTGTTAAAAGTAACGGTCCAGCCATCTTTAAAAACACTAGCAGCAACTCTTAAACCTCAGATGAATTGGCTGCAGAGGCATAGCTTCAGTCAGCAAGAGCAATGGCAGAATGCAAATCCACATTCCTGTAACCTATTAAACTGCTCAGCGATTCAATTCTGTTCAGATATAAAGTTGAAATCTCCACCCTGTATAAATGAAATAGCCTTCGATATCAGTGGCCAGTTTGTATGTATACGAAATTCGTACATAGTAGCGAAAATAATCTAAAAAAGAACGAGAATAGTATGAATAGCATAGACATGACCTGAAAATAACTAACTTTAATAGTATGAACTAGATTTTTCAGAAGTTTAGAAAGCTGCTTTGAATGATCGAAATAATTATCATTGTGCAATGAAAATTTAAAGAGAAAAATTATGTAGCATTTGACTATTTCTATTTCTTTCCTTCTTTCTTTGTTCAAATGTTCTATCAGGCGTTGATCCTTACGCCCTGATCAAGTGCGAGGGAAACACTGTCCGAATTCCCACAGTGAAGGACACACGAAACCCGGTGTGGAATTCAGCTGGTGCTTTGTTTTACGTCAGGAGACCCAAGGAAACGCACTTGGTAGTACAGGTTGGTCTCAACTTACTAACAATTCTTCGATAAATAGCGGGGAGAGTGTGGAGAGAATCAGGGTGGTATTAGCTTGGGATGAACCGAGTTAACTGCAAAAAGTCTTACCTGGTCCAAGCCTCAGTGGGCGTTGCTACAGAGTTGTCTTTGGAGTTGTTATTGCTGATGTTAATAATGTCTGTATGCTTATTGCCTGCCCAGATGGTGCGAGTATTTCTTAATTTTGTTTCACTTTACAATCACCATTATCATCATTACCATTGTTCTTAGTATCGTAACTATTAATTTTATATTATTATCATTAATTTCTATTTTCAGTCTTTTTACTATTGTGTTGCTTTCCAGATTTGGGACAGCAATGTGTTCTGCGACTCCTTCCTCGGTCAAGCAAAAATGAGGATCGATATTAACAACAGAACAGTGGTACTATCACATCAGCTGATGGGCAGAGGACGGAAACACGACGAAAAGATGCCTGGTGCTGTCACACTAGAAATTGCTTGTTATCACGATCTAATGGCTGTTTGATTTCAGTGCGCCTTCAGAAAAAATGGCCATGGAAGATATGGGCAGTTCGCCAATCCTTGGCAGTGCGGAGAAAATCATCAAATTCAAAAGGAATAGGCTCAAGGAAAATTATGGAGGCTGCATCATTCAATCGTATTTGCTCTCAGTTCAGGTCTATGGTGTTACGCTTGCACATGTAACAAATGTACACACGCGAAAACGACAATGCTCTGGCTAGCTTAGCTATTATTGTATTTTACTTCTTATCAAGTCTGTTCAGGTTCTTGTTTCCCAATTGCCGAAGCCATTTTTGCTGTCTTCTTTAGCATGAAGGATGCTCTTATAAAGCCCTCTTAATTCTACACATACTCCGATTCCAGAGTGTAACTCTATGAAACCAGACTTGGACAATGACGCTCCGGTACGGTTGGTTTCGGGCTGAAATGGTAGTAAAGTAAACCATGGAAAAAAGTATTATGGTCTCTTAAAGATGGTTCACCGATCTCTTCCTCGTTGTTATCATGTGCTTGAGCCTTAATCGTCGATTTAACTTTGTGTTTATAAGAATCCTTTTTATAATATTTAAATCAAAATGTACCATTCTGCTTGCAGAAAAACTGATTGATAAAATAAGAAAATAGCCACATTACTATGCAAAACACAAATTTATTAACGAGAGTAAATGTAGCATTATAAAAAGTATTTTACCACAACTGTTAGGATGATTAAAGCAAATGAATCAATTCTTGAATGGTTATTTTTTAAAAAATAAAAGCTCATTCAACCAGCGTGGTGATGCATAACATCTTGGTTATCTATTTATTCCTAATTTGATTGTACACCACTACATGATAAAAAAATTTCAGATAGTCGGCAATTGCCTTGAGATCACTTGGTGACCAGAAATAAGTAATTATTTCTAGAAAAATAGCTCTCTATTTTTTTTCTTTGTTAACATTTGAATATATAGCAGAACAGACTACCTACGTCACACGTGAGGGCTGAAGACGTCTTCTAACGAGGCTATTTGATGAAAGCTCTATTAAGTGTCTGCGCACCTTCGTGTGAACTCTTTTATTACCTTCTGAGAGCTATTTGAGGTCAGCATTGAAAAGATAAACAATCCACCTTCTCATGTGGAAGTGAAACTTTATACAAAAGCTATAACAATAACATAAATAAAAACCAGCATATGTAGCCGTTGCCGAAGCATTAAGCTTCCGTTAACTGCTGGAGCTACTTTAATTTCAAAAGAATCAGAAAAACAAATTCAGACTTCTTTAATAAAAGCATCTTGAAAACAAGAAGAGAGCAAGCCGTTAGGTCTCTTTCTTCAGTCAAGAATTATTTTCCCCTCTCAGAAATTTAGTCCACTAAGTTTACAAAATGAATTCCTAGCAAAAAGCTATAGCCTTTTAAGTTGCAAGTTGATCGTGAGCCAATAAAGCCCCTTTTTTCAACTTATCTACAAACTGCAGGAATTTACACCATTTGGAAAAAAACTAAGGGATTAAAATCGTTGCTATACCCCTATACCCCCGACTAAGCCATTTTCGTCGGAATTCCCAACAGTTCGTTGGTCCCATTTATACTCTGGGAGAAAATAGGTACCTCGACTGACCCTACACGTTATGGCGTTTTCTTATGGAAACTATGGAAATAAACCTTACTTAAGTAAATATATCCCTACGGTTAATAAACGTAGTTTTTTTTTTCGTTCAAAATTTTGAAGATATAAACCTTTTTAAATGAAGAGATATTGACGCTTGCTAAGTTCGTCTGAAAGCCGCCATTCAATCAGGAACGCAAACTATTCTTGAAGGCATAGCCCTTCGATTTAGTCTCATGCCACTCACTTTTTTTTTTCACGGCATTTCTGTTGCCAACATTAGACCTCGCTAGAACTCCTAGGACTTACGCTCTTGCATCTGAGCAGGAATGGCTTATACAACTCCAGCATTAAAAAGCAATGTCAGGCATCTCAAAATAATTGGTACCCAGAAAAAGAAAAACTGATAGCGTACTTTCAAAGCCGAATAGCAGTTTATGATTCAGTGGCATCGTCACCACAGTCTTACTAATAAATATGGTTTTGTCTTAAAATACTTAATTGTTCGAGACCGATGCGCAGACATAAGAGGCGAGGGAAAACGTTAGACGGGAGGAATAGATCGCCAAACAAAGCCAAAAAAAAGGTAAAAAAGAAGCGGCGGTTTTTTTCGCCAAAATGGAGTTAAATTGCAAACAGTAGTTCAACCCGCCCTAGAATCCAATGCTCCCTCACAAATACGTCTGTTGCTAATTAACTTTAGAACTGTTACAAAAAAGGAAATGGTCTGTAGCTCGTTTCTTATAACAAGTCAGCTATAATGGGCTGTTCACATTCGATCAAGGTATCGTAAAGCCTACCCACGTCAATAAAACGCTGCCGATGGCTGTGCACTAGAGCCTCAAGACATGGATTCATGGTTCTCTTGTCAAGGTAACGGATCTCGGTGTCTTTCAGACCCAGTTTCTCTGCAAGCAGCTTCCACTCTTCTCCACCTGAGAATGGGACATTAATCAATTCTTTGTGTTGGGAAGAATCGTTACAAGCTTACACTATTAAAAGAAGAAAGAACGAAAGGCCCACCCCCATAGAGTCTCTCCCATCATGGTAACCGCTTGATGGGTACTAGATCAAGAGACAACAGTCATTGGGTAATAACGTTCTATTTACGTTTTACAAAAAGCTACAAATTAAAGAAAACAGAGAGAGTAGACTAAAAACATCACATTTTAAGTTTTGACGTTTGACATTATCTAGATATGACTTACCATAACAAAAAAGTTGCTAAAAAACTTTTTGGTCTAAGACCAAGTAATCACTGGTAACTTTTGCTTAATATTGACTAACATATCAAATTACGAATGTAATTTTTAGAGAAATTAACGATTTTTTACCACTCAAGCTCATCGTAAGTTCCACAATCTGTGACTGAGGAATTTCTTGAAGACCGAGTTCTTCGGGCAAAAGTGGACCTAAAAGAAAAAAGTTTCATAAAAACGAAAGGGTGAAAAGAAGGTAACGGACAACTCCGTTCTATAGAGGCGGTAATTTTCTAAAGAAACTGTGGCGCTGCGTCGGTAAGAGAGTATAACAGGATAATTTAGTATTAACAAATGAGTTGAAATCGTAAATCGGTCACCGTAAAGATTTACAAAACTGACGTTTCGAGCGTTAGCCCTTCGTCAGAGCGCATAGGAATGATTAGCCTTTCGTCTTTCGTTCTGACAAAGGGTTAACGCTCGAAACATCAGCTTCGAAACTCTTTACGGTGACCAATTTACGTTATCAACTCTGGTCTATAGACACAAATGAATAAACAAAAACGGAAGCAAAATCGAAAGAGAAAAAAAAGCCACACTTTACATTTATATCGCTAAAATCTAACTCTAGTCGATAGTCGATTGTCGATTGTCTGAGTGAGTGCAGCCCTAAAAAGGACTTGGATGGGCGGAAATAGTCATTTGAGTCAAATGAAGAAATGTTCAGTAGTATTAGCCTGTTCGGGAAATAGATTGGCCAGATTTTCCGAGATGTTATTGCTACAAAACTCAAGCAGGCAATTAGTTTTAAGTTCGTAAGCTTACTTGACATCCTGGTCATTACGACAATTTCAGATTTATATGTCATTCGAAGCACCCTCGTTATGAAGGCTGAATTTTTTTGTCTACGACACACAAAGAAAATGGCGCCAAGTCTTGAATAATAGTTAACAAAGAAGTAATGAACAAAATACCTGCAGTTCCAGCTGAAGTTATTTGCCTCAAATGCTTCACTACGTCGGTGCGATTTTCTCTCTTAGCTATTCTGGCAAGGCAACGGACTACTCTGGTGGTTTCAGGTACGGGATTTGTCAAAGCCTCTTGGCTTAACTGCAGCTTGTCCAGAATTGGAACGACAACACTTAAAGCATCAGTCCTCGACTGAAGGGACTCAACAGCGCCACTCGAGAGAACAAGTTCTTTCGCTTTCTTCTCTGTACCGAAAAAAAAGAGAAAATAGAGTGAACAGAAGAAAAGCCTAAAGGTAAAGAGTTCTTCACGTGACTAACAATAAGCTAGCGTGACGTGTCTTAGTGACACGGAGGGTAGTTTACATGAAGCACACCTTACTTTATAATGAGATATCAAAACGCTGTTGATTAAAAGAAATGACCCAACTCAAATAAGGATAATAATAAAAATAGCTACAAAAATGACAATATATAGCAGTCATGGTAATAATGATAAAGTTTATCAAAATCTCTGGGCAAAGGGAGGAAGGCCAACTCACCCTCCACAGAACAAAGTTTTCTTGAAAAATAGTCGTCATGATGAACTTGTACTTTCTATAGATGCACAAAAGGAATACGAATTAAGTTATTGAGTTAAAGCGCGTTCCATTTAATGTGAAACTATTCCCGAAATAGTTGATGATAAGATAGCTAGTTGTGATGTTAAAATGAAATATGAAAATAATCAAATCAAATCAATAATAAGCATATATATTTACGTTAACTTGCTCATCCAGAAAGGTGTACCACGGTGCAAACTTCCTGATGTCCAATCTGGGATCGGCAGCACAAGCAGACCTCTCACAAACAACGAACTGTTGATTTCGAGCAAAATCGGCTTCTGACCAGAAGTGCAGGCAATGCTCTTGCCTACAATTTTTCATTCCATGGTCGCGACAAAAATCAACGGACTTCCCCCGGCAACATACCGAACAAAGCACTTTCAGTTGCCATTCCATGTTTTTCAACCAAGGGAACTCCTTGCGCATACATTCCTGCATCAAACCCAATTGCCTTCTGACGGCCCGTGCGACGTGAACATCAGGAGGTTGATCAGACACAATGGCAGGCAAATCGACGTTCCCTTTTGAACCGTTGGAGGTACTACAAACTCCTGATGCCCAGTGAGGAACGACTTCGATGAAGGAAGAGTGGCAAACGAGAATGATAGAGCAACCTTCCTTTGGTAGGACCAGGAACCTCGCAAAATTGCGGTATAGTTGTGGTTGGCATGAATTTGGCCATTCTTCAGAACACCATTGGTAAAACTGTAGAACCATTCGCGGAAACAAGCTGGTGGGAACCTGACGGGAGTGGAACGAGATATACAGGGACGGAAGTCGAGAAGTTGCAACAAGACCAACCACGTCTTCGGACGGGTAAGACATAAGCATGGACGGCACAAGGTACTGCTTCCTGTCATTTGACGATGGCCATTCGCACATTAGGCTGAACTTCTCCATGATTTGAATAAGACTTTGGAAGACTTCCCTCTGCTGATACAAAGCGCCCCACACGTGCGCAAGCAGTTCTTCATCTAGACTACCAGTTTTCTCAAGTTTGAGCCAAAGGTCTCTGTAATGACTTCCTTCCACACCATACGGCTCAACAGTGATCACCTTCTTGAAAACATCGATAAGCCACTGCATGTCTAAAACAACCATCTTGTTTAGACTCGGTGTGTCACAAAAATGAATCACAATACGCTGGTCGTGTAAAAAGTTTAACAACGTCGTAAATTCTAGTTCGTCAGAAATATGGCACTTTTCAAATGCAATTTGCCTTGCGTCTTCAAAAGTGATCCATTTAATGCCCTCATTGATCCTGAGGCGTAGTTCTTTTTCAAACTTTAGCCACTTTAATGGAATGTCCTCCTTGGCATGCGGTAGCTCCTCAGCAACGGAAAGGATTTCTCGTCTTAAACGTTTGACCTCTGGACACTCGTGCTTGGAGCCCGCCTTTGTGTTATCTACAGCAAAGACACTTTTAAACAAGTGGGAACTGTACAGTTTGCCTTGAAGAGATCCAAAGATACTGGCCGCCAGCGAGGCAGGATCCTGATCACCATA